ACGCGCGAGTGCGAGAGCGAGTGCGAGCGTGAACGCGAACGTGGTCGCTTACGATCGGCCGCTACGAGAGTCGACGAGAGAAAAGCTTTCGGGCGGCATTCGCGCACGTTTCAGGGCCACCCGCCGGATCCCGGTAAGCCCGCCGCGCCGCTTCCATTTTTACACGGACTTTACTTACGTCTTTGACTCGTCGAAATTTCCTATCGTCTCGAAATTTTCGATCGTCCATCGTCCACCGACGTTTCTTCGACGACGCGTTCGCTCCTTTCGTTCGCTTGCGTATTCTCGCGTTTCCATTTGCCCGAGAATCGGACGATTCGAACGACCTAGTGACCGCTAGGTCGATCGAACGACCGATCGATCGATCGTTCGATAGACAGACAGATAGATCGTCGATGAAAACGGGAATGGAAGCCGGAACGTGGCCGTTGCTCGCGACGATCGCGATCGTTTCTCGCGACACGTGGTGCTCGACGTGAGAATCCGATCGTATCGCGAGTTACAGTTTTGCGGTGGCAAAAGTGGAGAGACGTGTTTCGAGGAACGACGTCTCGTCGGAAAGAACGAAAGGGAAAGGAAGAGGTGGTAAGGGAGGAGGAGAAAGAAGCGAAAGAAGAAGAGAAAGAAAGGGAGAAAGAACGCGTGAGCAAAAGCTTCGTATCGACGTGGTTCGCGAGAAACGATGACTCTCGTGACAGACACGGTGTCTTACGCGTGTCAACCGGTCGGTAGACAGTCTTACGACGACGTTTACCGTCACCATCACCTCCAACTTCGACATCATCATCATCATCACCTTCATCGTTACTATCACCATCGGCATCACTATCACTATTATCATCATCACCACCATCATCGCCGGCGACGAGGAGCGTACGCATCCACCGATGATCCATCGATCGAGTGCCTGCAAGGATACCTGTCCGTGGGAAACGTGGACGAAGAAGCGAGAAATCGAGTGGTCGAAACAGCCGAAACCGACTCCGCGTTAGGATCGGCCAGCTCTGACCGTTATCGGTACGATAACCGTATCGTGTTCACCGATTCGAGTTCGACGATTGTCGTTCCCTCTTCCCTTCTGCCATCTTTTTTTCTTTCCTTTCTTTCGAGATTCGAGCGAAACTCACAGCGTAGCGTCGCTCGTCGTTATAATTCGAGATTAAACGCGTCGACGGTTTTATCGCGTGTCAAACCATTTTCACCTCGTATTTCGCGTTCCGTTTAACCGCGTTTACCATCTTGAATCTATCGTCGTACCGACGATGCTCCCCTGGCTCTCGTGTTGTCAACCACCTGGAACGATTCCAATTGGGAACAACGTTCTCCGTGAAACGCGGTCCG